TTATTTCCTGGATCATCCTACTCAACTAGATTTTCAGCTTTAACCATTTTAGGTTCAATAGCTGAAGTTTTCCTGTCTCAGAAGGTAAGTTTTCAGTTATGTTTGGGAAAGGTTTTCTTTTAAGACCCATACTTTTCAACATTTTTTTCTTAAAGTTTCAGTTTATTGTCTTGTCTTTAGATTCCTTTGTACTATATAGTTCTTACATGTATAAGATCAAATTTGCCAGTAAAGGACAGAAGGGAAAGAAGCTATGTCTCCTTTCCATTGATCATTATTTGCCAACTCCACACTACAATTTTCTGTGCTTATTATGAGAAGAGGGAAGTGTTTTACCTCCCTCATTTTTTTAAGAAAGGGCCCCAAATCTATTCCTCCCACCCTCCCACCTCAGTATTGGTAATTGAACCTGTGGCCTCACATTGTTCTTTCTGTTTTAAAAATTAGAATAATAATCTTTCTTTTGTATTTAGTATTCCTTAGTGGATCTTTGTGGTTAAAATGTGGTTTCCCCTATATGCTATCTGTTTCATATGCCTCAATCTGGTTTCGGAAAGACATTATGAGGATGTCATTGCCAGGCATTCTGGTTTAGTGATATTCTGTTTTCCTTCTGTGGGGTACTCAAAAGGATAAGCACTTAGCTTCCCTCTTTGAATCATTTTATTTCCTTTTTGACAAGAAATGATTCTTTGTCCCTGTACATGAGTGTAATGTATAATTTAATATGGGTTTCTTTTCTTTTTTTGTTTTGGTACCGGAAATTGAACCCATGGGTGCTTGACCACTGAGCCACATCCCCACCCATCTTTTTATATTTTATTTAGAGGCAGGGTCTTCCTCAGTTTTTTAGGGCTTTGCTAAGTTGCTGAGGCTGGCTATGAACTTGTAATCCTCCTGCCTCAGGGTTCCAAGTTGCTAGGATTATAGGCATGTGCCACACGCCCGGCTTAATGTGGATTTCTTGTTTGCTCTGAGCTTTCCTTGACTCTAGTCAAGTAGGAAAATACCCTTCTCAGCTGCTCTTTAGCAGGGAATGGCCAGAAGACTGGAGAATGTCACATTGTATCTGTTTTTTTTCTCTTTTTCTAAAAAATTATTAGATAAAGTATTTTTTTTAAATGGGAATTTGAGTTATTTGCTGTTAATACATGTTTGCTTCATTTGAAGGACATAAATTTTAAGTTTTTATTAAAAAAAATCATCCCAGCAGCAAAGTTTTAGTAGTAGTTTAATGAATAGCCATGTACCACATTCTACCCTAAATTCATTTGTTTTTAATATTTTATCATGTTTACTTTATCTGTTGTCTCTTATTAGTTTTATAACCATCATATAATGATCAAATTCAGGAAATTCAATGTTTATAAGTGCTATTATCTAATATGTAGTCCATGTTCAATTTTTGTCAGTTGTCTCAACAAATGGTCTATTATAGGAAAAACAAATTTCCCATGATCTGAGAAGCAGCCCTAGCTCACACATTGCGTTTTAGTCTTAAGCTTCTCTTTACCTTCCTCTGATCTGTAAAGTTTCTTATCTAATGCCATTGACATATTGGAAGATCATGTCTTAGTTGAGTGTTGTCTCATTGTTTCCTGATGTTTTGATTCAAGTTATGCATTTTGGGCAGGAATTTTACATAGTTGATACAATGTTCTCAGGGCATCCTAGCAGGAGATAATGAGAAATTGGTCATCTCATTATTCACAGTGATAAACACCTCACTTAGGTAGGGATGATAGGCTGAGAAAAGGTCCCCTGAAGCATCTATGTCAAATCCTTAGAACCTGTGAATGTGAACCTTACATGGAAAAGGGGCTTTTGCACAGATGTGATTAAATTAAGGATATTGTGATAATTTATTATCTGGGTGGGCTGCACATGCCATCAAAAGTTTTCTCTTAAGAAAGATGCAGAGAAAGATATGGCACACTGAAGAGCAGGCAGGGTGACAGTGGAGGTGGAGGTTGTGGTGAGGTAGCTACAAACCATAGAATGCAGGCAGCTACCACAATCTAGAGGAGGCTCCTTTAGAGTCTGTGGATTGAGCACGGCCCTGTTGGCTCTTTGGCTTTGGACTTCTGGCTCCTATGAGAATGGATTTCTGTTGTTTTTAAACTACTAAATTTGTTACAGTATCCACAGAAAGTGAATACCAGGGTACCCATTAGTTCAGGGAATTTCAGCGGTGCTGCAACTGAATTTCAGGTTTATCTGAGAGTGATCAATTACTTTACACATTCAACAAAAAATTTTTTGCATGTTTCATGTATTTATACTAAATCTAAGTGTATGGGGAAAAATACTAGACTGTATTAGATATGTATTTTTCTGTCAGGAGAAAAATTTAATATATTTAAGTATACTTTGAAAATGAACAACTTAAGTCATCTTCCTAATGGAAGATGGAAAGTTTCTTATATGGAAACTTTATTTTATATCTATATGTATCTTATTTTTTAAAAAATATTTTTTGTTTTAGTTGTAGATGGACACAATACCTTTATTTATTTTTATGTGGTGCTGAGGATTGAATCCAGTGCCTTGTAAGTGCAAGGCAAGCACTCTACCACTGAGCTACAATCCCAGCCCTATATGTATCTTATTATATACTTATATATAATATATATAATTAGGCTGTTTCTGATGTCATAAGTACTTATATTAATTAAACAACGTGGGGATAATGCAAATGTAGCAAGCCATACTACATTCATAACTTTTAAAGAAGGCTGAAGAGCCATGACTTTGAAATATAGGATGCAAAATGCAAATTCATCATTTATCTTCATCATAAGAGCTTTAATGTGGGGATTTTACATTATTTTATAGAAGAACTATGATTTGGTAATAGTCAAAATGATTTCTGCCTTTCCTCAATTGTATTCTATACCATGAAGAATAGTCCGCATGCATTAAGTAGAGTTAAATGTCACAATATTCAAGGAGAGAAATTGAATTCTACAATTAGATTAAGAGGATTTGTTCTGGACGTATTGATTTAGTGCTTATTATATGTCAAACAGCTAAGGATAATGGAGTGTATGAAAGCAAGTGTTTCCTTTTTTGGAGTTTGTATGTTAGTGAAGTGAGACAGACAGTAGTTAACAATATGTAGAAATTCAGATGGAGATGAGTTCTATGAAAAAAAAATTTCAGGAAGACAAGTGGGAGAGAGAGAGTGCCAGGGACAGTGGGGAATGCTAGCACTTTCATACAGTAGTGTAAGAGAAAATTTTAGATTTGAATGTCTCTTACCCAGTTGGTCAAAGAAAAAAATCATGAAGCAAGTTAGAAAATACCTTGAGATCAATGAAAGCGAAAACATGACATACCCAAACTTATGGAATATAACAAAAGCCGTGCTCATAAGGAAATATGTACCTGTAAATTCCTACATTAAAAAGTAAGAAAGGTCTCAAGTCAGTAACCTAACTAATGCCTCAAGAAATTACAAGAAAAAACTTAACCTCAAACAAGGAGAAGGAAGGAAATAGTAAAGATTAGAACAGAGATGGATAAAATGCAGAATAGAAAAACAATAGAGAATCAACAAAACCAGAAGTTAGCTTGTTTTTTTTTTTAAAGATCAATAAAATCGACAAAATTTTAAGCTAGGCTGGACTACGAAAAAACAAAAAAGTTGCAAATAACTAAAATCAGCAATGAAAGTAGAGACATTTCGGACTGGGGATATAGCTCAGCTAGTAGAGTGCTTGCCTTGTATACACAAAGCCCTGCGCTCAATCCCCAGCACCACAAAAAAAAAAAAAAAGAAAAAGAAAAAAAGAAAGTAGGGCCATTTCTACACTTAAAGCAAACAAAGGATAATAAGTCAATACAATGAACAATCTCCTGGAATGAGCAGGTCACTAGAAACATAAAAAATTCTGACTTGGGAAGAAATAGTAATTTGAACAAACCTATAACAAGAGATTGAAATAGTTAATCTAGCCCATGACTAGAGTAACACCACATCATGTACAACCACAAGAATGGGAAGATATACTCCATGAATGTATGATATGTCAAAATACACGCTACTGTCATCTGTAACTAAAAAGAACAACAACAACAAGAAGCCTGCCAGCAAAGAAAAGTCCAAGCCAAGGGTATTCCCTGGTGAATTCTACCAAACAATTTATAACACCAGTCCCTCCTAACCTCTCACAAAATTAGAGAGTGATCACCTCCTAACTCATTCTGTGAGGCTCTCCTTACCCTGATATCAAAGCTGAACAAAGATACTGAAAGAAAACTGCAGACCAATATCCCTGTGAATACAGAAGGAAAATTCTCAGCAAAACACTACTAAACACAACAGTGTGTTAAAAATATTGTATACTATGACCAAGTGGAATTTATCCCAGGAATATGGGGGGTGAATATAAAAATAATAAGATGTAAGAATATGCCCTATTAAAATAAACCTCAAATAAAGATAAACATAAAAATAACATTATTCTGTGTCATTTCATTCTAAAATACAGTAGGACTTTGGATTCTAGGTCAAGTTTTTAAAAAATTAAAAAATGTTTTATTGGTGCATATTATTTATACAGAATGAAGGATTTCATTGTGGCATACTAGATCAAGAAGTTTTATGAAGATTTTTCAAAAGATATGTTCCTAAATTTATTTGGTTTTATTTATTTTTAAAAAATTACTTAGGAATCTTTTATATGATACCTTTTGAAAAAGAATGAAATGGTTTTAAATTTTTTTATAAAGCTTATTTCCTATTTGGAAAACCAATTTTTTTTAATTTTGTCATATGAAGAAATAAATTAATGGAAAAGGGTTTTTATGCTAGTGTGGCAAAGTATGAAAAAAGTAGTATCGTGAGTGAAGTATTTGTGGATTTTTGAACTAATTTTCTATAAATTTGATAACTTCAGAAGGTTGTTTTCACTTTTTTTAAATTCATTTTAACTTTTTTAAAATTTTTTTAATTTAAATTTTAAATTCATTTTAACTTTTTTCTTCAGGTAGAGGCCAAACAGTGTATCAGCTGAGCTATGATATTGATGTTGATCGTTTCCAAATACTAATAGAATGTTTAACCAGTACTTTCGAAGACGTGAAAACTTTAGCATTTGATCTTCTGATGAAATTATCAATAGCAGCTGTACAATTTCAGGTATTTGGACTTTTCCTATGGAAATATAAATATGATATAGGCATGAAAATCTACTATTTTAGCATAGGTAACACAGTCTGAGAATTATCTTGATTCTTTGTGTCTGTCTTCTTATTTCTTTTGACTGTTTCTTTCAGTCATTGATGTCTCTGTTATTGTGGGGTAGAAATATTGCAAAAGAGAAAGTCCAAATCAGTGAGCCTGGTTTCTTCTTTTTCTTTTTAAATTGCTTTGTTCAAAGGAGTAGCATAGGAAGCAGTAGGTTTTATTATTTATAAGATTACTAGTAGATTTCAGTTAACGATAGTCTCCCCAGTTCACGTGGCCACGTAATATTTGATCAAAACATGTCACTTACAGTAACTTGAGTTTTCTAAGTTAATCTTCGTATTCCTGGGAAGCTGAATGTACATAGGGTAGAGAACATGCTTCTGGTCTTCCAATAAGCAATAGCTAAACAGAGACTGAAACTCAAAAAGAGTATTTGAGGTTAGCAACTATTCTCTCCCAAGTGTTCTGCTCTGACTCTGGCTTCAGCCCTAGCCTCCGCCTAGCTCAATCCCCTGCTCTTCCTGTCTTGGAGTAGGAGCCAAATATGGGCTTCAGAGTGAAGGCAGTGAAGGTACAGCATGGGGTGGGTCTGCAGGAATCCCCTCACTACGCTTTTCACTTTGTACTTGAGGTGTATTCTGGGGCTGTCTGCTGGGGTTATCAGCAGAGTACTGGCTCTAGAGTTTTGCTATAGCTCTCTGTTAGAGTGCTGTAGAGATCAAGGTTGCCTGCTGCTGAGCTCTGCATGGTCAGGGCCTTAGGCTGTATTTAGGGCTTGCCAGCTTGTAGGTGTAGTGGTATTGTGTAGGAGCACATACCAGAGAGCACAGTGTTTGTTTCTGTGGCTTTTATGGCATTGCAAGATCTCAGGGTATCTTTTCTGATTTGGATCCAAATTGGGAATTGCTCTCCAGTGTCTACCTGTGCCTGTGATCTTCCAGGTGCCCTGGTGAGCAGAAGGTTCTTTGGTGCTTAGTTTGCTAACTCTTGTACCCAATAGAGTTTTAATATAAAAGAGACTCTTCCTCTCTTAGCTCCTACTCCCTTACCATTTATTACTTGTAGCCTTGTATCACATATAAGGCTATGTTTCCTTTCTGGCAAAAATTTTGAGAGTTTTTGGAGTGAAGAAGGTATATTGTAGCACATCTGTAAAAGACCTGATTCTTAGATAAGCTATGCAGGGCCTTTAGGGAGCCTCTACATCTCTAATTTGGTAAAAACACACTTGGTTATAAAGACACTAATGTAAAATTCAGAAAATTTGGTGCCACATGTGGCTTGCTGTAGGCTTTTGCTTATTCTCTCTGGTCTGGCTTGCCTGTTGGTAAACTGGTCATTTGAATAGGTGTTCAAGATTTTTAAAAATGTTAACTAAGTACCCTATATTTAATACATATTTGTGATGACATATCTTTCTAAATATGTCTTTACCACTCACTTGGTTTACTGCCCTTCTTTCTGTGGAGCTTAGGTCTTCACGTTGTATTTTGATTGATCTAAGATGGTAGAGCAAAGATATTTAGATTTCAAAGTCTATTTATTCATTTTTTAAACTAATTGCCTAATAATACCATTCAAGGACACCATCAGTTGTCAAAATGTTTTAGGTGCTTAATTGTTACTTTTTATATATATTTAAATTTGAGTTGGTTTTTATTAGGAAGTACTGGTGACTGAACCCAGGGGTGCTCCACCATTGAGCTAATCCCTAGCCCTTTTATTTATTCAGAGACAGGTTTTATAAAGTTGCCCAGGCTGGCTTCAAACCTGTGCTCCTCCTGCCTCAGCTTCCTGAGTTTCTAGAATTACAGGCGTGCACTACTATACCTGGCTGGCCACTATTTTAAGTTTAGGTCATAGAAAATTAAACATATCAAATGACAAAGAACTTAAACTGATAATCAAATCAGGACATTAGATATCTACTATTTTGAAATTATAAGACATCTTTAAATATCTATAATAAGCCTAAAAATTGAGGTTCTAAAATATTTCCCCTTGTACTAGACAATTATGGAATAATCCTAGTAGAATCAGTATAGTATTGAGAATTCAACCCCTGATTTCCAGAGTGGTGAGCACATGGCCTGTCAGCTGTTGAATTAGAACTGGGACCCATGACTCCTGTTGTCCATCCAGGGCCTTCCATGACTATTGCAGTGAACCATTCTTTGTTCTGGCTTCTTTAGACTATGTGAGTGGATATTTATAGGAGATCTAGGTGTGGGAGCTCAGATGAAGATTTATGAGGCTGATCTGATTACTTCATTTCCCACTTATATATGTGGAATTTCACAATGAGTAACCTCCCTGTGGCTTTGTAATTTTCTGCATTGAACTACCTGTATGGGAAAGGGGATGGAGAAGAAGGGCAGACATATAATTTGGCCAGGTAAAACATAAACTGTGAGGAAAAAAGATTACATTCTATAGAAACAACGAAGGTGATTTGACTGTAGCCATAGTGAATTTCTATAGGAAAAAGTACACTTTCGCTGAAGAAAGACTTTAGTTTTAAAAAAAAATGATAGCTGCTGGGCGTGGTGGCACACACTTGTAATCCTAGCTGCTCAAGAGGCTGAGGCAGGAGGATCACAATTTCAAAGCCAGCCTCAGCAAAAGTGAGGTGCTAAGCAACTCAATGAGACCCTGTCTCTAAATAAAATACAAAATAGGGCTGGGCATGTGCTTCAGTGGTTGAGTGCCTTTGATTTCAATCCCTTGAACCTAAATAAATAAATAAATGAATAAATGATAGCTTGTAGTGTTGAATTTTCCAATTGAAAGCATTTTAAGCATCTTCATCTCTGAACTAATAATAATTATCATCAATTGCTATAAGAAAAACTAACATATTCAGGGAGAAAATAAATTAATCTTCATACTGAGTTAGTTATATGGTAGGCTGTGGTTTTTATTATGTGTTATTCCATCAAATCTTGGAAGTCTTCCATGGCAATGACTGAGACTCTAATTCATTCTAGGATTCTGAGAAACTGCAAGGCTTATTCCAGGCAGCTCTGGAGCTCAGCACAAGCACGAAACCCTATGACTGCGTAACAGCCTCCTACCTGCTGAGCTTTTTAATCTGGCAGGATGCTCTTCCCTGGTCCCTTTCTGTAGCTACACCCCAGCAGGAAGCATGTGGTGATGGAGAAAAATCTGCTGCCGTGGTGGAAAGGAACACACTGATGGGTTTGTATTGAGGAAATGACCTTTTGCTCCTTTTTTGTTGTTAATCAAAACCATTATCTTATTTTCTCACCATTCATTGGTTAGATTATCTCATGGTTAAACATTTACTCATGTTATTTTTTTATAATTTTTTAAACATTCATTTTTTAGATGTAGGTGGACACAATACCTTTATTTTATTTTTATGTAGTGCTAAGGCTCAAACCCAGTGCCTCACGCATACTAGGCTAGTGCTCTGCCTCTGAGCCACAACCCCAGCCTTACTTGTGTTTTTTTTTATTTAAGGGTTTACCAGCATATAAATGCCTGCAGTTCCTTTTTTGTGAATAAACAGTGAACTCAGCTATATATTTGTTTCTAAACAGAGAATTTTTGTTAAATAAATTGATAATACAAATGTCCATTAATAAAGTACTTTTTTAAAAAATATTTTTCACATGTTGATGAACCTTTATCTTATTCATTTATATATATGCAGTGCTGAGAATCGAACCCAGTGCCTCACACATGCTAGGCAAGCACTCTGTCTCTGAGCCACAACCCCAGCCCTAATAAAGTACTTTTTAAAAGAGGACCTGTTTCTCTATCAAATGTCTACTCTTTTATTCTGCAGAAATTTTACCACATTATAGACAGATTAACTTCATTATTTCTATACAGAGCAGAGTTCCCTTATCTGTTGGAGTTTATGTTCTGATTGACTGTCCTGCTCCCTTCCCTTTTATATTTTTATATAGCCTGTTCTAAAATCTTGGCTCAGAAATGGGTTAGATCTAGTGGTTTTCAGCAAATCTTTGTTTGGGATTTATAGTCTTAATTTTATGCTAGTAAATCTTTATTTTGGAATTGTAATGGGTATATGAATAGATACAAATATATATATATTAGTACCAGGGATTGAACCAGGTTAAGCACTTTAACCACTGAGTCCCCTTTTATATTTCATTAGAGACAGGATCTTTACTGAGTTGCTGAAGCTGGGTTTGAGCTCTCCATCCCTCCTGTCTTGGCCTGCTGAGCTGCTGGGTTTATAGGCATGGGTCACAGTGCCTGACTAGATAAAAATTTTGCAACTCAGATATAGGTCAGATATAGAAAGAAAGTTGCAAATTATTTTTCTCAAGATGATAAAAAAGGCCATGATGAAACCTGTAGTGGGAGAAAAGTAGGAGGTATAGGTAGTTCTGGTGGGAACGTGGCCTTTAAGTC